CACTCGTTAAACATAACATTTTATTCTCCTGAAGAAGAATAGTAAACTATTTAAAAATGCTTAAGTTTTGGTTCTCATTTTGAAAATACTACCATTCTTATCTTAGAGCTGCTGACCAGAGTGGAGGGCAGCAAGTCAGCAGGACCGACTTTCTATGCAGATACTCTTAATCAAATAGCAGTTATTATAACACCTTAAAATGTAGGATATCTTCAGTAGCACAGTGTGGTTCACATATTGGGTCTATTAACAAATAGCTCAGCTTTTTAAACACTAGGCCATACCTGTCCATGAAAAATTGGAATTAATGCTTTTTTTTTGTTGTTGTTTATAACAGCTCTTTCTGTTTATAGTTTGGTTTTTTAATAATCTAGTATCATAAAACACATAAATATAGATATTGTTTTCTGTAATGGAATATGAATTCATTTTTTAAAGCACCTACTTTTGTGAAAATGATCATAGTATACCATCCTCTTTTATAACTATCTTTAACTAATTCAGGTTAAATGGTTAAATTCATTTTGTATCTGTTTTTAGATACATGTTTGTTTTATATGAGGAGTTTGTATTAAGGTTTTGCCAGATCAGTGATCTTGAATCTCATAATATCTGGATTTATTTTAATTTACACTTTCCCAAGTATTGGTAGTTTATTGCTGTGAAAAAAAGTATTAAAAGTTCTCTCTCTTTTTTTAATTACACCATAATATAGCTAACAACATTAACTTTGATCCTGTCTTTTTTGTGGATGGTTCTCAGGCTGTCTTGTGTTGATGTCACATGAAATATGTGCATTACTGTCTTTAACAGAAAATGGCAGCAACTGTTTTCCAACGTGCCCCTTGAATATGAGTGTCAAGCTACAGATATTATCTTAGAAATTGATTGTCAACAAACATGTGTATACTACTGGAAAATAATCCCCCTTGTGTTCTGACACTGATTAATTTTGTCTAAATTCGATTTGAGTATTATTTAAGTAAAGCCAATAATTACTAGGACTGAGCAGCCAGTATGATCATTGAAAAGTAATATGAAGAAAAGGTAAAGATGACATTATCTGCTGATATGAGATTACTCTAGGTCATTCTCCACCTATCCATTTACTCACATTTACTCTAAATTTTAAAATAAAGCATCTCAAAACTGAAACATAAATTTTTGCTGACATTCAAACACTTAAGGCAGAAAAGAATACTATTTGTATGTGTTCAGATGATATATATAGCTACAATTATTTGATGGTGTAGCATTATTGGCCTAACAAATCTTAAAACCTTATATAAAAGATCCAAACAAAAAGTGAAGATAGTAAGCACAATATATGAAATATTCTATTGTAGTAGGTTTAGAGTTGTCTTTTAGGAGTTAAAAAAAGAAACGTGGTTAAGGATTTGAAAATACTTATTTTGACTATCTAGAGTAAATGGTTACTGTATCTTTTTTTGGTTTGCTTTTTACATGTATTGGTCTTTTATGTAGGATTTTATTTTTTCGTATAGCAGTTTAATAAAAGTAATTTCTAACTGTATTTGTATTAGGTAAAGTTTTGTATCAATACATGGTTTCTTACAGCTCATTTAATAGTGTATTTTGACAAGGATGTATAAATATGCCATAATACTCAAAACCACACTTCTTAATTTGAAATGTTTAATTTCTTCAGTGGGGACATGATTTCAGACCAGATTATAAGCGTCTAAAAGTGCTTCGAGAAAAGTTTCCAGGAGTTCCGATGATAGCTCTTACTGCCACTGCTACTCCTCGGGTTCGTATTGATATTTTACACCAACTGGATATGAAGAAACCAAAATGGTGAGACTTTGGAAAGATTAGGACTTCGATGACGTAGTACCTTTTAGTAAACTTCTATATAGTGATGGCTCTTGAGCTGCAGACTTGCACGTTAACTGACAAAAAACAAAAGATGACTTAATATCTGTATTTTGAGAATGTGTGTGTATGCACAAGCACAATACTTGGATCATTCACAAAACTTCCAAAGATAAAATAGGTATCACAAAAAATTAGTACTTGGCCTGTAGCTGATCACTCAATTGAAAAAAAAATTGAGTGGACTTAATTTGATTTTTTTTTTACAGCATTCAATGTGTATTTCAGTATAGACTATGAAAACTTGATAGAGATGAAAGCTACAAAAAATATAGCTTTTGAGAATTTTCTTTTATTTAAACTTGTTTAAAATGCTTACTTTTTTAAAAGTGAGATCTTGTTTATTCTAAATATGTAAAAAAAGATAAACTTTGACCTATTATATAGAAATTAGCATAAAAAATTTGATCTCTAAATAATGTTACAGTTGCCAACTTTAATTAGCTAATTTTTTATGATTCAAAAATGAATTGGTCTGCAGAAATAAAATATTGTATGTATATGGATTTAAAGAGTTTTTAAAATAAACAGTAACAAACAGGGGTTTTTGCCATCTAAATCTTTTCTTGTAGTAGTTGGTGAGTTATTATCTTAAGATGCCAGTCATGACCCATCAACCTTTTACCACTTTATTCCTGTAGTGGTTTATTTTTATGGAATTGTGTCTACAGATGAGATTTCTGTGCATCCTGTTTTTATCTATTTCCTGTAGTGTTTACTGGATGTATTTGTTTTGGATTAGTCTGAGTTTTGAGTTTAAGTTTTTATGTAATATTGACCAGCTTCTTCAGAGTTGTGTTTTAAGCTCATAATGACTAGATACTATAAGTATTACTTAATGTTTATCATATCTTTTGTTTAGCTTCCATTTTTCCTCTCTAAATCTGTTCTGTGCTCACAACCTCCAATGGTCCAGCAGTAAGTCTGAGGGCTCACTGCTAAAAACCAGGTTTTGATACTTGTGGTGGGTACAGCACAGATAGCCCATTGTTTTGCTTTGTACTTAACAACAAATAAGAAACAAACAAATTCTTTGCTCATCTGTTGTTTTTTATTACACAACCAATGTATGTACCTGTATTTGTCATACTTTCGTGTCAGAAAACAAAAATCTGTTAAATTACCTTATGATAACATTTCAACTTTGTGTAACATGAATAGTTATTGAGTAGGAAACACAGACTTCCTGTAAAGAACATTATAACAAATATAGGATATATGTGTAGAAATTTGATGTTTAGTAAAAGAATAATGCTATTCAGACAACACACAATTACACTTTTAAATACATGAATACATGATGTACATCATATTGCATGGCATCACAAACACTTCACATATGCTGCCATCCATACTAAGTGCATCAATTTAGTTGTGTTTAGACAGAATTCCTTTTTTCATAGGGCATTTACTTATTTTTTATTCACTGGTGAAAAAGAATAGTCTATTTTTGTAAAACTTATAAATAAATGTTATGCATAAAAAGAGTTTTTGATATGAATAATCTAGTAATAAGAATATCAAATTAAAATTTGCTCCCCAGTGGCACAGCGGTATATCTGCAGACTTACAATGCTAGAAACCAGGTTTCAATACCCGTGGTGGGCAGAGCACAGATAGCCCATTGTGCATCTTTGTGCTTAACTTCAAACAAACAACATTTCATGTATGTTTATAACACAGAGAGAATTATTAGATTAATGAAAATGAGTAAAATTATTAATTATTAAAAATGGTCCATATTAACAATGTAAGACACTGCACACGGTTTTTCACCACATTCATTATTAGAAGAAGCCACAGTTAATATCTAATGTCAGTGATTTAAACTAATGAATGAATTCCAATTGATCTTAAGTGATAGATACAAATATATATATATATATATGTGGCTTGTCAGTAGTTTGTAGTGACGTAAATTAAAATTTCATATATTTTATTGATTTAACGTGCATAGTAAAGTTTACTGTACTTTCATTTAAGTTGTAAGTTCTAAGGTTTATGCTGTTTTACAAAGGCTATTTGAAAACTTGCTAATTTTCTGATTGTACAAGTTAATAGATTATTAGAAGTTAATATTGAAGTTAGTTAATTTTAAAAAATTGTTGTAAAATGGCACTTCTTTTTTAGTAATAAATAATCTTTTATCAGAATAGAAGTAAAATTATGGCTGTTATTTAGAAATGCTTGCATGATGTAAGACAAAATGTTCAGTCTAAATGTATCAATGTCGTATACTGTTTTTCTTATTTAAAATAATTGAAGACCACTAGTCACAAAGTTGTGAATAATTTGATATTTAAGAAGAATAAGTTTGAGAGTGTCATTAGCTAACTAATTTGAAATTTCAATCAAATTAACTATTGAAAGAATTTTGTATGAAATTTGATATGCCTTTTGTTTTATGTTCAAATCATACATTTTCCATTAAAATTGTTGTACTGTTTTGTGTGTGTGTGTGTATTGTTAATAGAACTTTGATGTATCATGACAGTTTGTTGTTTTCTATGCAGGTTTCTTCAAAGCTTCAATCGCCCTAACCTCAAGTATGAAATGAGACAAAAGAAGGGGAAATCTGCTATACGAGATATTATTGACCTCATTAAGTCTCAGTTCAGTGGAATGTGTGGCATCATTTATTGTTTGTCTCGGTAATATAATTCTGCAGATCCTTTCACATAAATGCTTTTAGTTCAGTTAGGTCTGTTTACTAGTGAGAAGGAATTAAATGATATAATTCTGGAGTATTTGAATATACTTTACCTGCTATTTTATGCATTGGATATCGTGTCGTATAGGAAATTTCACATTGTAAATTTTGTTCATTTGTCCCTTTTTTTGCAGGCTCATGCAATTTGCAGAAATCGAGACACGATTTTCACTTGTACAACATTACATGCAGTAATTTTGAAATTTCTTAGTGTACTCTGTCAAAAACTGGTAAAAGCTTTTTAAAGATCATAAGTATCTCGTATACAAATATACAGTTTTATAATTTAGTGTTTTTACTAAAAATATGTTATTTTCATTTTAAGTATAAAAATACTTTTCTTCCTCTTATAGTTTCATATTTCATTTCCATAATCTCTAGAACCTCCTAAAAGGATATCAAAACTTTTTTTAAGGTAAATATCTATATTATATTTTACATGTTCTCTTCAATATCACTAACTCTAACAATTATCATCACCGTAGAATGCAATGAAATAATTAAAATTTGGAAATACAAAAAAGTACATACCTTTTAATTTTTTTCTAGAATATATTTAAAGATTTTTTCCTTTTGTTAAATTCATTATTTCAGGTCTTTTCCTTTTCACATAGATTTAATTTTGAATGTTTTTTTTTTCTTTTCTTGTCATTTACCACTTATTATTAATCTCAAAACAAGCCAACAGTGCCCTCAAAGCATACTGCAGTTTCTTTGGGAGATGTACAAGCCTTCAGCAAAATTTTCATTCAGCACGTAATATCGTAAGCCTTGAGATTAGAATCAAAGTATGATGTATATTTAAAAAATGTTTAAGCCTTTTAATTATGCATCTTAAAACACAACTAATACATAATTAACTAAAATATAATCATAAGACCTATATACAATTTAAACTGTATCTCTGTGTAACATATTTAGGTAAGAAACAACCATAAGTGCTGTAGTCGATCAAGTAGCCAACAATTCTATAGTCAATTTCATGTAGTCCGTAATGACAACTGCATGCCAATTTCAAAATAACGTTGTTATATTATAGCATAAAATGACCTACTTCTAATGACAATACACATGTTATGTACACACCTACATAGGCTATGAAGCTCAAACAAATCTGTTGAAGGTAGGCATGGCAGCTGTTTGGATTTGAAAAAATGTATTACTTATTTAAACTGTATTCATTCAGACAATTTTGAAATGAATGAGTCAAAAGGTCTTGTAAACATCTTATTGTTTAGATGTACATCTACTTAACTACTATTGTATTATTTAAAATACAGAGAGCCAAAGTAGAGAATTTTCATAGCTCAATGGTCATGTGACAATACATCTGAAGTTTTAAGTAGTTTTTTAAAGGTTTATTTTGAAATAAAGGACTTAAAACTTGGATAAAGTAAAGCTTAAAATCATAACACACATTATAATATTAATGTCATTCACATACATTGATATTAAAGGAGTTTAATTATATTTTGAACGTAACACAGTTACGTGCGCAGAAAAGTATTTAAAGGGGCTCCTATTGCGAAAGGGTTAATAGACAGTATTTAATACTTATAAATTTTCTACATTACATAGAAATTAGATACGTAAGTTTAATAACTGTGGGGATGCTGTAACAATCTTTTTACTCTATAATTGGTTGAATTTTCTGTCTTCCTTACAGTACAGCAGTTGCAACAAGAATTGTCTAAATTACTTTATAAAAGTGATAGAAGATATTTATGATATGACTCTGTACAAAGTTTATCTGATCCAGTAAGCTTGTTAAGTATTTGGGTGCTAGTTATGTTCCTGGGTGGTTGGGATTTAGTGTTGGTAAAGGTGTAAATGTGTATAAGTGCTTATGAACATTCTGTTTCCTATATTACCTTGCTCACACAGTAACCAATAAATGTGGAGTTTCCAGTATTATAAATATGGCTTGTTTTTGTGATTGGGCTAGTATTCTTGGCTTAGATTTCTTGATTCATGTTTTAGAAACAAATTATTCACCAGCAAACTGCAAGTTCAACTGGATATTTGCAAAGTATTACCTGTAAGTAAGTAAACTTGGCTACCATATATATATATATATATATGTATTATTAATATTATTTTCAAATAAATACTTAAATGTCTGTTATTTTTCTTCAAACATAAAACAGTAAATAAAATATGTTTGGAAAACAATGATCTCTACTACTTACGATGCTTTGAAGTCCTTGTTTGCACTCGTGATCCATACTTGCTAAGCCTTGTCCAAATTCACATGTGGAGATGGAAAAAATAATAATTCTTTTATACTTTATATAAGCATTTTGGGATACAAAAGTTTTAAGTTACTATACCAATACCCCAAAATCCACTGTAATTTTTCAGGCTTCCTAACTAAATTGTATTTGGGTCTAAAAATATAATTCTTATTCACAACATAGCCTTGATCGTAATGCTTTAAACTTTCCAATGATATAAGAGCTTTTTTCTTGTAAGTAACTTAGGAAGTGTGACAGAATTATGTAGAAGAAATGCATAGCTTTCGATTAGTTATAAAGTTTTTGGTATAAAAAAGCAGGCACAGATAAACAAGTCTTCTCAAATGATGAAGTGGTGGGTGGAGCCAATATGACGGACTTGATGAATATTATGATATCTTGGTAAATAGAAAAATTAGGAGGTTTTTATTTTATATTCTAAATTGCCAATATCGGAAATTTGAATTTGAATTTATAATTCGTATGAAAATATAAATGTTGTATTGTGGGTGTCATCTGACCAAACCTAGGTGGTGGCATATCAGTGTGACACACAAAAATCGATATTTAGCTTTTTTTTAACTTTCTGATTTAGAAATTAACTAATGTATAATACTAATATTTGAATTAAAATTTACAATTTGATACCAGGTTTATCGACATACATTCATAAAATAGTGGTTCAATAACATTTTTAATGTAAGTATACAAACGTGATAGCATGCCCTGTGATCCCTAGCTATCTGTAACAATAAGATTAACCTGAGATCCTAATCATTTTACAGGATCATAATTGGTGAATGCCAAATGTTATCATATACTCTGATAATTAATATTTTAAAATTAAATATAGAGTATTCATTGCTTCTAATCCAGTGTGACCATGTACACTTTTCAACCTGTTGAAAGGAACTTTCAAGCACTATTTTTTCGTATACATATTTAACTAAGCAGTGAACTCATGCCTCAGGAAAATCACATGGGATGTACAAACAATTCTTTTTCAAGAAGCTATGAATCATATTGTTGAACCTTAAAGTACAAATGAATGATTCAGTTTTTTAAAATACACATTGATTCTAAACAAATAACCATGCTGTAGATATTTTTCTGTATGATTATGATTCAATTAAATTTTAAGCTATAATTTATGTATTAGTTGGTTCAGAATTATGAATACTTATTTCATCAAATTTGGTTTCCTTGTCAGTAGTAAGTATGTTTATCTCATTTTCACATTTCATATATGTTGAAAAATTATGTAATTGTTTGTCTAAGAGGCATGTAGAACCATGATATTTAGATAAGTTTGTCCAAAGTTAAACAGTGAAATTAATCTGATTAAGGCAACTTAATTTGGGGGAGGATATATATGATATACACAATATATATTTTGTTTATGATTTGCTGAAAAAACATTCCACATTTTAAAGATGTGAGTAAGAGTGATGGTCAAATCTCACCATTCGGTGAAGGACAGCCCAAGAATTTTTGGTGGATGCTGTTGACTTGCTGCTTTCCCTCTATTATTTTTTTTTTTCGGACAATATTAAAAAAATTCAGCATTTTGTATTAAACTTTTTTGTGTTACATGATAAGCTGGCTCTAATTATAATACAATAAAACTTTGATAGTTGAAAAATACAGATATGATATTTAGGTTTGTTTTTTTAGACGAGAATGTGATGAGGTAGCTCGAGATTTATCTGAAAATAAGATCAAAGCTATTTCTTATCATGCTGGACTGGAAAATGAAAACAGAAATCATATACAAGAGATGTGGTTGAATGACAAATGTCAGGTATTGAAAATACAATCAGCTTTCAGATTTAATGATGTTTTTTTGTGTTGAAGTCTCACTAACTATTTTGAAAGCATTATTTGAAAATGTTTGAAATGCATGCTAGTGAGAAAATACTATCCAACATTTGAGATTTTGTAAGAAATATCACATTATAATAATCATATGATAAATAAATATACCTTGGCTTTATGTTTTAATTAATTCATACTGAGACAGTTTTCACAAATGTTTTAAGTAGTTTTTGTTCAAAAAATTAATTGATCGACATTCTTCCTTAACACAATGCTTTGTAATAATTACCATACTTCATGTTGTTCTCTTGGCAAAATCTAGAATGACTGTACTATAACATTATCAGTCCAGAGAATTGAGAGAGAAAGAAAACATTTCACAATGCTTTATGAACAAAATTAAATTTGACATCTTAAAAAAAGCTTAATATTAAATCTGGTTACACTGTTAAATGCCTGTAATACTAGTAAAATGTGAAAGTTAGTTAAACATGAAATTATAAATGATTAGTAGGCATTCATGTGCCCTTTACAATTTGTATGAATATATTAAAAATAATTTTATCTTGCTATTAAATTATCCAAAAAAGACTTATGTAAGGCAGTTCATGAGAAGTTATCAGATTTACTTGTTGATAAACTTGTTAGATTTCAAATAACCTAGTAATTAAAACAGATGACTATTCCAGGTTATCTGTGCTACCATAGCTTTTGGAATGGGTATCGATAAACCTGATGTTCGATTTGTCATCCACTATTCTATGCCAAAGTCAATAGAGGGGTTTTACCAGGAATCAGGACGTGCTGGTCGAGATGGAGAAACATCTTGGTGTATACTTTTTTACAGCTACCAGGATGTGCAACGTATGCGACGTATAATTGAAAGTAAGATCTTACATATTTTACACAAGAGTATAGCCACATCATGCTTATAAAGTTACTGAAACCTTCTGGCCATTACTTTTGAGCTCTAAACAGTTTTTTGATATCAGTGATAATAATTATCATAATGGGTAGAGAATAGTAGGGAAAGGTTTTTGTTTCAGAGCACTGTGAGCTCCTGGTAGAAGCTTTGATATATTTGAAAAACTTGTTTAATTTTGATATTCATTTTCATCTGTATGTTTTTTGTATTGGTAATAGTTTAATATGCACATATAAACATAAGTACATTTAGATGTTGATCCTAATTTCTAATTCTGTAATGTTGAAGTGAACCATGATTTATTGTTAACCATTCTGTTGCTTTTGGAATTATTTGTTGTGATTATCACTCTTCACGTAATATAAAATCACAGTGATTATGATAATATATACGTTTAATAAAACTGAAAAAACATTATTTTCAAAATACAAAGATGAACTTATAGCATATTTTAACACAATGTTCTTTCTATTTTTGATTTTTCAATTTACTGTTGTATGTAACATTTCACTAAGAATGAAATGATTGTGGCCACAAGCAAATAATTGGTAAGTGTAGAGGGGATATTTGTGCACAAGTTTGCTAATTTATACAAAGGGTTATTATTAACCTATGGTAACAATACAGGGATGAATGCCTAGGTCTTAAAGCCCTTTCTTCCACCACCACTCATTTTCTAATTGATGAACCTGGTTATGAATTATTGCTCTGCATCACAGTTTCCCATACAGAAGGCTTTTGCATGATACACAATGTTTTCCTCTTCTTCTTTATATGCTGTTTAAAGGAGCCTGTTTAAACAACTTAAAATGATAAACGTTTGTGTGAGATGCCTGTGAATGGTATATCATGAATTCCCTTTTGCATTTGTGTCTTGTAGAAGAATTGGCATATTAACTTGGACATGTGATTTTTACTTTGTTTTGGTGGAGCCAGACCTTATTGGCATCTAGTCTATAGAAAGATAGTATTTGCTCATGGTTTAGTTGGTATCAACATATTAATCTGATAGTATACAAATTCCAATATGAGTAGCTACCCCCTCTCACAATTACAGCTATTCTCAAATTGACTGCCCTCTAGTGTGCAAATTTATGCTTGCCAATAGCCTTGAACTGCTGCCTTGTTCCATGTACATGTTACCTGGTTTAGCTGCATTTAAGTATGCAAATTAGCATGTAACAACCCTTCACAAATAGGAATGTCACACCATTCTATTGCAGCTGACTCCCTCCATGCAGTTGAACCCAATTGCCATTTCTCAATTTGGCACAACAGTGTTAAGACCTGGTGCTTGATTTCAGACATTTTCTTTTCATCAGTGCATTTGGAATATATTTAGTTACTGATTTTCCCATTTCAAAATATTGTTTATAATCCACTATTGAGTTGAATCTCTTTATTTGATTGTGAATTCTGTTTCTCATTCAATTACCAGTAGTCAGTCAATATTTTTGAATTCACAATTTACTATTTCGTTTACAATATCTACAGACAGTATTGGTTTTCAACAGCCCGTGACAATGGCTGCAGGTACAGTGTTATTGGCAGAGGTAGTGTCAGCTGTAGTTTGTTAGGAGATGGCATCTTTCATGTGAGCCAAGGGATCTCTCTATCTACAAGCAATTCTGTCATTGTCTGTGGATTTTGATCAGAAAAAATGCAGACTTGGACAGCTCCCCCCCCCCCCCCTTCTTCCCCCCTCGAGGTTCCTCCACCAGTCCCCAATACACGCTTTTTGAATTTTAGTCA